TTCATTTTCATATCAATTTAGAAAGCATTAAGGTATACCAAGTCCTTTAAGTGTAAGTGTAATATTAACAAATAAGTGAAAGGCTCACATGATTTTCCCAGGTCAAGTAAATGGAATGTTGCATAAGGATTATAAAAAATGATTGTAAGTATAGATTTAACTACAACCATATCAAGGAAATTAAATACCTTGTAATATGGTTTATTCAGCAAAATTTATTAAGATTTACATAGGTTGTGCTAGGTATTATCATTTATACAGTTTGAAAGATTGAAAAGCATAGCCATAATATTTTGTGGCTCCTCTCATGAAGACATGGAGTCTGTTTCCACACTCCTTTAATCTGGGATGATCTTGTGACTTTCTTTGGCAAGTAGAATGGGCAGATCAAAGCTAGGTCTTCAGAGGGCTTGCAGCTGCCATGCCAAAAAGGAAGCTGGTTGAGTTGATTGGAGGCTGAGAGGTCTCATGGAGAGAAACTAGGCGCCACAGCCAACAATGAACCCTGACCATAGACCCCGGTGGTGGGACCATCCTGAGCCTTCCATTCAGCCAGACTTCTAGCTGAACACAGCTGCAGGTATGAGCCCAAGAAAACCAGAGGAGCTTCCCACCCAACCATGTGAGATGATAAATTGTTAGTTTTTTAAACCACTAAGTTTGGGGGAGTTTGTTATGAGGTAATAAAAAACTGAAACATGCATGAACTGTTTTTTGGAGTTTGTATATATTATTTGAGCAGGGTTTAATTAAGTGTTCTTTTGTTCATTTAGCAGTTAGTTACTGGATAGCTGCTATGCACTTTGTTCTAAGTGTTGTAGGAAAATTATAGAGTATAAATACTCTCATCGAGGTTGATAATAGTTGAGTAGGGTTGATAAATATTTAACACTAAATATATATATATATATATATATATATATATATATACGTATACATATTTGTAAAAGTGTAGCTATCTAAGACATGAACTCATATATACTTTAGAAATTCATCAGACACACTGTAGCTTGGGATACAAAGAAGTTTTCATGAGGGAGGTCATATCTGAGCTAGGGTTTCAAAAAATGGGAATTCTTGTAGGTATTGGAGAAAGAGGATTTTCAGTTGAAAGAAACAGATTGGGCCAAAAGTATACATTGGGGCATGGGTTATATATATTATGATAAGCAAACAGTCCAAATAACATGTAAAGGGGAGATAAGTGAGAGAAACGTTGAAGAAAAAACAAGTTAGATCCAGGTTTTGGATTCTAGTTAATTCTTTTTTCTTACAAAGCTTTGCAAAGATTTATCAAATGATTATTAATTATTTCTGCTACTTTTTCACCTTATTTTTCACCTTATTTCACTTTACTAGAGACACCTTATTTTATTTCATTTTTATTTATTTTATTTATTTATTTTTGGCTGGGTTGGCTCTTCGTTGCTGTGTGTGGGCTTTCTCTCATTGCGGTGAGCAGGGCCACTCTTTGTTGCCGTGGGCAGGCTTCTCATTGCGGTGGCTTCTTTTGTTGTGGAGCATGGGCTCTAGGCGCGTGGGCTTCAGTAGTTGTGGCACATGGGCTCAGTAGTTGTGGCTCGCGGGCTTAATTGCTCTGCGGCATGTGGGATCTTCCTAGACCAGGGCTTGAACCCATGTCCCCTGCATTGGCAGGCGGATTCTTAACCACTGCGCCACCAGGGAAGCCCCTGGTTTCTAGTTAATTCTTTATGCACCACGTATCTATTACTGAACAACAAGCCACTGCCAAACCCAAAACTTTGTAGTTTCTCACAGTTGTGTGATGGGTGACTGGGGCAGTTTTTCTGCTGTTCTCACCTGTGATTACTCTTTCGGCTTCAGTCACGTGGCGGCCTCACAGGTGCTGGTGAGTCCAAGATGGCATCTCTCTGCTGTGCAGCTGTTTGTGCTGGCTGGCAGCTGGGGCATGCTGGTTTTCCTCTGCATGGCCCCTCATCCTCCAGTTGACTATATGGGGCTGCTGCACAGCACCATGAGTGAGAACAAGAACTTGAGTGTCTTCAGAACTTCCAAGACTTGGAAGTCTTGGTCTTATACTTCAGAGAAAGTGAGAACAAGAACTTCAGTGTCCCCTAAGGTCTAGGCTTATGCAACTCATACAGCATCACTTCCACAATACTCTATTGGTCAAAACAAGTCAATAGGCCAGCTTAAATTCAAGGTCAAGGAGAGACACACTGTACACCTTAGTGGAAAGTACAGCAATATCATGTTGCAAAGGAGAATGAACATAAGAATTGATTTATTGGCAGCTATTGTAATAATATGTCACACCACAAATTAGAAACTGTTCTTGGGCTTCCCTGGTGGTGCAGCGGTTGAGAGTCCGCCTGCCGATGCAGGGGACGTGGGTTCGCGCCCCGGTCCGGGAAGATGCCACATGCCGTGGAGCGGCTGGGCCCGTGAGCCATGGCCGCTGAGCCTGCACGTCCGGAGCCTGTGCTCCGCAACGGGAGAAGCCACAGCAGTGAGAGGCCCGCGTACCGCAAAAAAATAAAGTATTCTTCAACAGTGAGAATCCAGTTGCTTTTTTGACCCTGAGATTGATATATCCAAGCTGTGTTTAAAGAATATGAATATGGCCTTTATGAGTGGGTCGCATTAAAAGAAGGACAAACTGAAGACCAGGAAGCAAAGCAGGAGATTTTTTCTGGTAGTTCTGGTCATGGTAACACATGTCTGAATTAGGAAATGTACATTTTATCTATAAACAGAGATTTGCTTTTAATGTGTAGTGATGCAAAATATAGTAAGCCCTTCAGTAACATTTGAATTCTTAAAAATATATAAATTATATTTTTCCTCATTCTATTTCCTACTGGAGTGTAAAAGTGATGCGAAGTTGTTTACGTTCTCAAATATAAATTATTTTAAATAAAGTAAAAAACATATTCCACAGAAAGGTCTATTGTTATCAAACAGCTGTTCTCTTTGGTTGTATGAAGGCTCCATCTGAATAGTCTTAGAATTAGCTTGGCTGGTATATTGCATAGAGGCAGCTGAGAAAATATACTGACATGAGTCAACTATTATGACCTGGCAGCTTACACAAAATTTCTGAGCATAGAACAAGTGAAATTTTGCTGAAATGTTCTGGAGACCTGGAGTTAAGAAAACAGAAAAAGAACAGAACACTTCCTGCCTCAGAAGCAAAATGATGACACGTTACCCTACTGTTTCTCTTCTGTCCCTTGGTTTATCTACCTGTGTGCCTACCCATCTTCCTAACTATCCAGTGGCTTATACTCTGCCTTAAAAAGATTTAAGATAATTGAATATTTATGATATGTAACTTAGACAAATACATAGATATCTTAAAAGGCTGGAAAAGGAATTTCTGTAGTTTAAACATTGAATAGCACATCTTCTTGGTCATCATAATCAAGCTGTGTCTGCTTGTTCTGTATAGAAGGTACAAGGAGTATCCAGAAGCATACAGGGATTTTTTTTTGACAGCTTTATAAAGGTGTAATTTACATACCATAAAATTCATTCATGTTAAGTGTAAAAGTCAATCATTTTTAATATATTTACAAAGCTCTGCAATCATCACCACAGTCCAGTTTTAGAACATTTTCATCACCCCATTCCTACCATTAGTCCCAAGCAACCATTAATACGCTTTCTGTGTCTTTTCTGGACATTTCATATAAACAGAATCATACAATATGTAGTCTTTTATGTCGGGCTTCTCTCACTCTTTTTTTGGCTTGTTCATATTTTAACATGCGTCAGTACTAGATTCCTTTTTATTGATGATTTTTTATGTTGCAAATCTCATTTCCCTCCAACGTTGCACATATATGCATGTTTCATAGACTTACTTTTTTTTTTTTTTTTTTTTTTTTTAGCTAGTAGCAGTGCTATTTCTAATGCTATTTTAGGAATTGTACTTTGGGAACATCTTAACAATTTCTATGCTGTTCCCTTACTTTCATATCATCAATAGCTTTGTACAGATAATCGATCTACTTAGAGGCTCATTTTTAGGGGCACCTTGCAATGGTTAACTCCTCAAGCCTTTCCTGTATACAGTTGTCCCTCTGTATCCACAAGTTCCACATTTTTGGATTCAACTAATCACAGATTGAAAATATTTGGGAAAAAATTTCCGGAAAGTTCCAAAAAACAAAACTTGAATTTGCTGCATACAAACAACTATTTACATAGACTTTGCAACTTATTTATAGCTATTTTTATAGCATTTACATTGTATTAGGTACTATAAGTAATCTAGAGATGATTTAAAGTATACAGAAGGATGTGCATAGGTTATATGCAAATATCAATACTATGCCATTTTATATAAGGAACTTGAGCATCTGTGGATTTTGGTATCTGTGGGGATCCTGGAACCAGACCCCAGGGAAAACTGAAGGATGACTGTGTATGGAACACACACACCCGGAATATATACATGTATATCTATACCACATGTATATACTGAAAAATGTCTCTCTGTTAAAAAAAAAAAAAAGACTACTGACTGTTGCTATTTTCTTTTGAATTTTATTGACTTTTTTATATAGCAGGTTCTTATTAGTTATCTATTTTAAACATATTAGTGTATATATGTCAATCCCAATCTCCCAATTCATCCCACCGCCACCCCCTGACAATTGCTATTTTGATGGGGAACAGATCTAGTGAATTCTGGTGTCTATGTTTCCTTGACACGCATTCAAAATGTTTGTGTAAGTCACCCATGAAATTCAGTCTATTTATTTTACATGCTATTCAAATATACTTTGTGATATTTTGGCTACAATTTTTGGCTACTAATAAAAATAAGACTATATCTGTTTGATGTAGGAAAAAAAGCTTAAAAATTATATTTCCTCAACCAAAATATTGTTTAATATAAGATCCTAACTACTAAGTGGCTTTATGAAATGCGCTTTGGTTTTCAAGAGAGTCATGATGAGCAGTGTGCCTAATTTGAAAGTTTTAATTGTAATACACATGTGTTTGTTTAGCATTTGTGGAATCCAACATCTGGAACGAATAGGAAAGAAGCTGAATCTCTTTGACTCCCTTTATTTCTGCATTGTGACGTTTTCTACTGTGGGCTTTGGGGATGTCACTCCAGAAACATGGTCGTCCAAGCTTTTCGTTGTTGCCATGATCTGTGTTGCTCTCGTGGTTCTCCCCATACAGGTAAACACAACCATGTTAAATTTTATAGGAACCTGCAAAGTCTTATGAAATCAAATCTTCCACATTTAATAAAAATTGCAGGGTGGCTTGTTAATCTAACAATAATATATTAATACCTGCTATTATTCCATCCAGTCAATTAATTACAATCGTATCAGAAATGCCTTTTTGCATTGTATTAGAAACATTGAGGTTCTTTTCCCTCCAGTCACAATTGATAGCTCACATTTCATTTCAATTCTTCACGGTGCTTTCTTTCAAATGTAGAGTATTTATGTTAATTATAGGATTGTAGGCTAGTATATTTTAAAATTATAGAATGATAGCTCAAGGAAATATACTTGTGAAGGGTTGATTTCTCTTGAGTCTTGAAAATACATCTAAAAGCCATATGTTGTAATGAATAAAAATTGTTTCCATATGATGGTCAACTAAAACAAAATCTGAAGATGATACATAGCTATCATGCAGCATTTTGGAGAGTGGATAAGGAGATAGCAAAGGGACAGAGATATAAAATGAGACTAAAGATACATAGAGGCAATCTTCAACTTTTTCCTGCAGTGAACTCTGGGTGTCCATGGATGGGCAGGTCAGAAATAGGATGTGGCCAATACAAATCAATCTTGCATGTTCCATTACAGAACCATTGGCCACAGTGTATCGAAATATACTTTACATAGGTATAAAAATGATCTTCGGGCTTCCGTGGTGGCGCAGTGGTTGAGAGTCCGCCTGCCGATGCAGGGGACACGGGTTCGTGCCCTGGTCCGGGAAGATCCCACATGCCGCGGAGTGGCTGGGCCCGTGAGCCTGTGCGTCCGGAGCCTGTGCTCCGCAACAGGAGAGGCCACAACAGTGAGAGGCCTGCGTACCGCCAAAAAAAAAAAAAAAAAAAAAAAAAAAAAAAAAAAAATGATTTTCCCATTCCTATCCAATCATACATGTCATCCTTAATGACACCCCTCCCCTATACACTCCACAACCCTTAGATACCAGCTACTAAATAACTAGAATGTGGCCTTTCGTTGGTAAGGGTACCTCCCCTTGCAGGAGATGTGGGCTGAAGTTGATACAAGAATGTGGGAGAAAAAAGTGAGGCTTTTCTCTTTGACTCAGTGCATGACATATATAGCTGCATACCCTACTGGACAGAGCAGAGGCATGGACCTCTTAGTGCCCTGCTATGATACAATAGGAAAATCATATTACTGTGTTTCCTGAAGACCTGAAGGCCCTGGGAGGCGTTAGCAAGCTCTGCAGCCATCCTGTGAAGAGCCTCTTATTGAAGGGAACACTGGTCATTTGAATCTCAAAGACTTTCATCTAAGAAATTGAGTATGCTTAGTAAACAACAGATGTATTGCATTTATTTTTATCTTTATTTTTATTTTTATGTCCCGTGTCTTCCATTCACATGTGGAAAATGCATTACAGTTTGAACAGCTGGCCTATTTGTGGATGGAGAGACAAAAGTCAGGTGGAAACTATAGTCGACACAGAGCTCAAACTGAAAAGCACGTTGTTCTGTGTGTCAGCTCACTGAAGATTGACTTACTCATGGACTTTTTGAATGAATTCTATGCTCATCCAAGACTCCAGGTACCTTTAAACAGATCATACCTACTAACATTGTCAAAGTCAGTTAATCATGGTACAGCCTGTGTCCTGGAGGATTTTTATTTATACACTCAAATTTAGAAAGAGAAAATGAAGAACTACAAATATAACCAGGAACATAGAAAAAAATGCTGGAGGAATACACAGTATGTTAAGTTTCCTTCTGTATCTATACTGAAAGACAGATGGAATTATGTTACTGCTACAAAGAAAGGTTTCCTTTGATTAAAATGATTGCTTTTTTTCTCCCTTGGGTAATGCATAAATGATATTTTTATGAAACAGTGAAATTTAACATAAAATATAGTAAAACAATGAAAGAATCCTTTCAATATCATCTGCTCACTTGAATATTTCAGAATTTTATCAAGTGTTGCTGATAGAAATGTGGAAGTCTGGAAGTTCCATTTTTCCTTTTGTTTCCTGGAGTGAAACTAGGTCTTATTTATAGTAACAATAAATGACCAAAATTTGGGGAATAACTTGCTGATTGAGATCATAAATTCAGAAAAATCTCTTCTGTCTATGCAGACGAACTCCTCAGATACTTCTTCCACTTGCCATGGTTCTGGGTCATTGTAGACTTAGGTCATCTCCTTTGCTGCTCAAGGCACTTAATCTAGTCCAGACAGCAAAGAGCTACTTGAATTTCTTGTGTTTCCCCAATAAATTTGTGGCAAGAGTTTGGATAATCCTGAGGTCAAGGCAGTGCTGAGTACATCAATTATCTCTCCCTTAAATAAAGAGCTTTTTTTCTTGAATATTTTAGAGAACTTTTAAAATACTATTTTTTGGATTAAAAAAAATCTAATTTAGAAGTGATACTTATATAATATATTTTTCTGTTTTTGCATAAATTATTTTTCCTTTTTTGCAGGAATTCCAAATTTAATGGTTAGGTTTTTTATTATTCATATTAAATAATTTCAGATGCTTATTATAACCCACAAAGAGAATCTATTTGGGGGAAAATTAGATCCTTCCAAATTTTGATCCCTAGTGATTTATTTTGTCTAATATCAATATGGAGAATTCTTAGAACTCCAAAACTTCCTACTAGATATATTATAAAGTGATAAAATGGTGAGTGTTTACCAGAGAATTTGAATTCTTATAGATAAATTATTTTAAATTCTTATAGATTTTAAATTCTTACAGATTGTTTTTTATTTTCTCCAAAAGGCCATTATTTTGAAATATTTTGATCTCAAACTTTTAAATGTAAGTTACTTTGTCAGTATTATCAATATTTTTGTGAATCTTTTTCCATTCAGATATTCATCAGAATATTTTCAATATTATCAGTTCATAATAATATTACCAAATGATACAAATCACCATCACAGTTTTTATTCTAAAAGTAACAATTCGAAGTATGAATTGATCCTTAGGACTTCTGGCTGGTATGCAGTTTATCTTTTAGAATCAGCCTGAAGTCGTAACTGAAAACTTCATAGACTGGAAATGTGTGCTGAGTATAAGCACTGATTCCCTTCCCTTCCTGGTACTAATAAAATTGAAAAAGATCAGGATGAATATATTGATTTACGAGATTTTTATATGTCTGTTATGTTTATTACTGAAACATTTTATTTGACACTAGGTTTTAAATGCAAACTTTTATTTGTTAGTAAGAGTTAATTTCTACTTTATCATATTTCGAAATGTTCTTAGATATTCTATTTACCTACGTAGTATAAAACAAAGCATTATTGTCTCTAACCCATGGCCCCCTTTGTTTTGAGTAGGATTATTATGTGGTGATTTTGTGTCCTACTGAAATGGATGTGCAGGTCCGAAGGGTCCTACAGATTCCGATGTGGTCACAAAGAGTCATCTACCTTCAAGGTTCAGCCCTTAAAGATCAGGATCTGTTGCGAGCAAAGTGAGTATATCTCTTCAATATTTTCCATCTTGTAGTGTTTTAATATCTTTTCTCTCCTCCAAATTTTAGCAGTTTTCAGTGTTGCAAGATGTGTTTTTGAATACAGGCTTTTGCTTTCGTCCCACTGCTGGTCAAATCGGAAGGTTTAAAATATAAAATCCGCGTATTTGCTCCTCTTTCTCGGGGCAGGGATGTTTAGCAGACTGCGTCCACACAACACGGTGAGAAGTGTGGTGTCGTGTAATTATCTCAGGCTGCTGGGAGGTGAGCTGAGTTATCCAGACTCAAGGAGAGTCATCTCCAAGTCCCTGGATACTGTTTTTATTCCACAGATAAAAATCTTGGGCTAAACATTGTGTGAGATGCCAAAGCAGTTCGCGTCAGGGTTTAAATTTAAGGAGCTTGTATCATATACTGGGCAGGTAACACTTGTGTTGCCCAGTGTCTGAGATGAAAGAGTCCTTGGGGACTGGAAGAATCAGAAAGGTGACAGGGGTCTTAGTTTCTCTCTTCTTGTTGTGTAGATGCCAGGCCACCCAGCTTAAAGGTGACGTAGTCTTACACATTTGTCACAGGTCATGAGGGTCATTTCATGGGGGCAGAGTGAGAGGATGGTTGGTTAGACTGTAGACACTGGGGAATCCGGGCATCTGCAAAACAGCATCCTTAGTTTCAGAAGCCAGAAGAGATCCTTAGTGCAGGTAGCTTTGCTCAATGTTTTCTCTTGTTTTACAAGTTTTAAACATATCTTCATGTTTATCCTTGAGTTGTCCTACAAACTCTTTTAGGTTTGAAAGTATCTTCCCTCAATTTCATAACATAAGTGTTTTTTCCTTTGTTGCTGTTTTGGTCTTTTTCCAGATCGCTTGAGTATGTGTGTTAGTGTGTGTGTTGGGGCATGTTCTCCATGTGTTTGTGTATGTTCTGTGTTTCTTTATGCATGTTCTCTGTGTGTTTGTGTTTGTGTGTGTATGGGGGAGGGGGTGTGTGGGTGATGGAAAAGAACAGAAGAAAATTTCCAAACTCCTTTTTGCTGCTTACTCCTGCAAAAGATGACTAGATAGCTCATAACAGGAACTCTGACATTAGTTTTGATTTATATATAATAGGTCAGTTTAACTGAGATTTTTCCAAAGATCTAATAACTTCTGAAACAAAAAAGTCAGTAGAAACTGTCAGGATATAATGAATGGTACGTAATTGGAAAACTAAGCTTCTTTGAGAATATATTGGATGGGCCAAAAAGTGCCTTCAGTTTTTTAAGTAAAAATAAAAGACACATTTTTCATTTTCACCAAGAACTTTATTGAACAACGTATTCACCTTTTTGTTCCACTACCTTCTGCCATTTTTCAGGCAACTTCATAATTCCATCTTCCCAAAACTTTTTATCTTTTTGAGCAAAGGACTGTTCCAGGTGCCTTTTACAGTCTCCCAGAAAATTGAAATTTTTTCCATTAAGACAATTTTTAAAGACTGAAATAAATGGAAATCCGAGGGGGCAATGTCTGGAATACGGCAGATGAATCATAACTTCCCAACCAACCTGTAACAGTTTTTGCCTGGTCATCAAAGAAACATGAGGTCTTGCGTTATCCTGATGGAAGATTATGCATTTTATATTAACTAATTCTGGACGCTTTTCATCAAGTGCTGCTTTCAGTTGGTCTAATTGGGAGCAGTACTTGTTGGAATTAATTGTTTCGTTTTCTGGAAGGAGCTCATAATAGAAGATTCCCTTCCAATCACACCATATACACAGCATCACCTTCTTTGGATGAAGACTGGCCTTTGGTATGGTTGGTGGTGCTTCATTTCACTTACCCCATGATCTCTTCCATTCCACATTGTTGTACAGTATCCACTTTTCTTTGCCCATCACAATTTGTTTTAAAAATGGAACATTTTCATTATGTTTCAGTAGAGAATCGCATGTGGAAACATGGTCAAGAAGGTTTTTTTCGCTTAACTTATGTGGAACCCAAACATCAAAGCGATTCGCATAACTAAGCTGGTGCAGATGATTTTCAACACTTGATTTGGTTATGTCGGCTATCTCCCGCGTGGTATAATGTTGATTGTTCTCAGTTATTGTTTCAATTTGATCCTTATCAACTTCAACTGGTCTACCCGACTGTGGAGCATCGTCCAGCAAGAAATCTCCAGCACGAAACTTCGCAAACCACTTTGGACACGTTCAATCAGTCGCAGTACCTTCTCCATACTAGAGCCATCTTACCTAAAAGACCGAACGATCCTTTTGGCCCACCCAATATTAGTATTTGTTGTGGATTACATTCTTTATATATGTTGTCACTATACATGACAGTTCTAGAATAAGTCAGGTTCTCCCAGTACCTCAAGTAAAACACAGGTGTTTGCTATTTGCTATCTATACTCATTATTTGGGAACCGTAAAGAAATAGTTGCTTAGACAGTAATATAACTTGGATATAGGTAATCAATAGGTAATCAATATGCTTAATTTATTATAATGAGTTAAGTTCTTCATATGATAAGAATGAGTCATGCCCATATTATGGTCAGTATGAATTTTTGTGATAAATGAAGCCTTTTGACTACCTAATAAATTAATCTAAGCCATTAGGATTGGCTCTTAGTATCTTAGCTCGATACTACCTAGGATTAACACACTCATTTAGTATTAATAGTGTTAATAATGGTTTCTTAGCAGAATCAGTCACATTTGCAAGGAGCATTCCTCCATAAGAATAAAAAAGAAAAGTGTGGATGAGTGAGAGGTAGCAGGGTGGTAATTCTCAAAAAGCTGAATTAAGAAAGGAGGCACCATTTCTATGTTCATTTCTTATCCTATGTCACATGAAGATTTGGGATTTAATGTTAACTAATACATTCTTCAATACAATCCCCCACGCAAGAAACAAGGAGTAGGATTCTCCAAACCAGTTCCAAAGGTCAGTTGTATGAGTTTTGAATTGCTCTGTTGAAGATGATATTTCGAAAATGTTATACAATATGCTCATAGTGTCTTAATAACCATGGCTACTTCTCATTTTTCCAGAACTGTTTGGTTTGGTCTAATTCCATGGATGTTTCATAGAAAATATTTTGGGGAAAAATTCTTTTATCATAATGAACCAGAAAGAGAAATAATTCCTTATTTTGAAAATACACAGTTTTATGTTTTTAGAACATTACTTATCAAGCACTGAAGCGTAATTACTGTTTATCACTACATTTAAGAAATATAGAACTTTAGCATGAAAGGAAACGGTTTGGAACAGTTGATGATTCATCTCCAGGAACTATAAACGTACAGTAGAGTTTGGCTGACAAATACTAAGCAGCTTTGTTTCCTCTCTCTTGGTTTTGTTGACATACTGAAGCCAAAATGTAATCCATCTAAACTAAAGGCTAATACAACTCCCTCAATTTACACAAAGTATATATATGAAAAAAATATATAATGATAAAAGAGAAAATAAAATTTGACTTTTTTTAACTTCTTTCATTATAAGCTGTTGAGTTATATAGCCAATCTACAACAATTATTTTGTTTACAGTCAAATATAGTCACGATCCTAGGAATCCTACTTTCATTTAAACCTAAGGATGTCCGTAGTTTACACATACTTTATATGCACTGGAATTCTATTTTGCAGATAATGCATAGATATACACAGATATGTCGGTGTGTGATTATTTTATTTTTCCATCTGCATTTAGGATGGATGATGCTGAGGCCTGTTTTATTCTGAGCAGCCGTTGTGAAGTAGATAGGACATCCTCTGTAAGTTTCTAAAATCTCTTTTTGTAAACTGTTCTTTTTTCCTTAGAAGATTTTTAATTTATTCATTTTTTAATCTGCCAACATCAAATATTGATGACCTTAAAATTTTACTAAATGGAAGTAAATATCTCTAAACTATCTTGCCAAAATATAAGAATAGTTGCATCATTGACCGTATCAACGAAAGTATTCTTCAAGTAGTTATCACTAATCCCTGGGTTTTCAGTTGATCAAAATGAAATGAATCATATATAAACAGAACTGGATCATTTTTAATTAAATATATCCTATGCTATGTGATTTTGTTCAAATGATCTCAATTTCCTCAACTTAAAAACAAGGCAGATGGATCAGGCAGTCTGCATAAAATCAGTTGGAGAGTTTCTAAAAAAATATGCATTTGTGAAAGTTCTATTCAGGATATGCAGGGTGGGGATTGGGAAGCTGTGCATTTTTAAAAGATCTCCAGGTGATTTTGAAGCACCTCCCAATTTGGAAATCTCTGGCTTATATGATCTCCATGATACATTTTTTAGGTCTAAAGTTCTATAAACTCATAGTTAAATTAAATCTTATAATTTACCAAATTATAACTTCTATTTTTAAAATGCATTTTAATTTTATTTCTTTTAAAAAGTGCTTTATTATTCTATGTTGAGGATGTACTGTTAACTCCTGTGTTTCTAAGCCAGTAAGTTCATTGGTAGTCATACCTGTGGTACACAGACAGATGAGAACCTTGGTGGCTTCTGTAGTGATTGGGGAAAAGGCAAAATATGTCTGGGTCATTTAGGGACATGATTTGCACTTTTCTGGAGCATCAAATAGGTGTGCTCTGGTACATTACTTTAGAATTGCAAGTCCTGAATGTGACAGGCTTTGTGTTGTTCTCACTCTAATTTAACTAAAATTTTTACTGATTTTTAAACCAACTTACTCATCCTTCATTTGAAGAGGACTATTATGTGTTGAATTGTGTCCCTCAAAAACTCGTGTGTTGAAGTCCAAACCTCCAGTACCTCCTAATGTGAACTTACTTGGCGATAAGGTCTTAATAGAGATAATCAACTTATTATGAGTTTATTAGAGTGGGCCTTAGTCCCATATGAGTTGTGTCCTTGTAAAAAAGGGAAATGTGGTGACAGACAGATAACAGGGAGAACGCCACATGCACATTAAGACAGTCTTCTCTAAGCCAGGAGAGAGGCCTGGGACACACACCCCCCTCACAGCCCTCAGCAGGAGGACACACACCCCGCTCACAGCCCTCCGCAGGAACCAACCTTACCAACACCTTGATTTTGGACTCTGGCCTCCAGGACGATGAGACAATAAACTTTCGTTAAGCCACCCAGTTTGTGGTACTTTGTTATTGCAGCCCTAGCAAACTAATGCAAGGCCATAGACCAAACAAATGATTGCAAAGTTTGTAAAATATTTCTTTTTAAAAAATATATATTTTAAAGTTTACTTGCTCCCCTCCTTCTCCACAGTTACTGTCTTAATTCAGACCAGATTCTCCTTGGTCCACTTACGCATTATTGCAATGGTTTCTTAATTGTTTCCACACATTAGATGCTCCAAACATATTTATTGAATAAGTGAACTGGAATTGAACATCCTTTACCTTATGTTCTATAATTATTTAACTTATGTAATTGTGAATCTTGGGCCTCTCCAGTGGCAGCTTAGTTTCAAAATACTTCCAGTCTTCCAGTATCTATGTAACAAGGGGAGTAAACATTAGGAAATAATTACCTAATGTCTTTTAGAGTACCCTTTACAAGGTGAATTCGGAAGCTTTCCATTAAACAAATGCATTCCATTTCCTCCTGACACTCTAGGAAATTTATAAGAAATGCATAAAAAGACTTCACTCATCAAGACAAAGGAGATGGTAGCTGAGGAGACGTTAATACAAGTTTGGAAGCTAGAAAGCAGATGGCTGGGTGGTAACTGACTTAACAGACAGAAGGAAGGTAACATTTAAGTTGAGAGAGGGAACAAATCAGAAGCAGGCTCTTTTCTGCAATGGAGCCTCAAAAGTTGCAGGAAATAGAGGCACCAGATGCCTCTGCAAGTAGGGTTTTACGTGGTACTAAATATACGAACAGTGATTAAAAGTCTGGAGGAGAAGCAGTTAGGTTCCCTCAACCCCTCCACGCATCCATGGCTGGTCCCTCTCCCCATCTTGGGAAAAAAGATTTACTGTTTGGCGAGTTTGGCCAAAATAAACACTTTCTGGCTGCCCAGGAAGAAAGAGTGGGAAATTAGCCTGTGGCAGAGACTCCTGACCCACTGATGCCCCCTGGGAATGAAGCATTGGAAGCGAAATCCTCTGATTCTGTGCAGTTTCAGAGAAGGTCAGTGTGAGTTACTGAAGCAGTTGGGGGACAGGAAACGCAGGAGACTGTTTCCTCTGCCTACTTATGGTGGAGACAGCTCAGGCTACTGCATGATCCAGATGGTGGGGTGGGGACCCTCCAGGAACACCCAGCAGGGCTCCCTTGGTATTGGGCTGGTTGGTGCAGCAAGACTGGTTGGTAGACACACATTAGGACTGGAAGCATTCTTGGCCAAGCGTGTGTGTATGTGTGTGTGTGTGTGTACATAGGATGTGAAAATAAGCTTCCTACATTCACTCAGGTCCCAAACAGCCTTTGAGTACTTCACTCCTACATATGTTCAAACGACAGTGATCACTAGACATTTAAGGAATTTCCTAACAAGAAAAAGAAGGAACCAAGTAACGGACATACAAAAAGCATATAGAAAAGAGGAATTAAGGGAAAACACAAATACTGCCATAGAATTCTGGGAGAATAAATAAATTTCAAAATATGTAATAAATATCCTATTTTTAGTAATTTAGTAATTGAGAAGATGAGAAGAGTATACATATATAAAACAAGAATAGTAGGCTATAGAACAAGACAAATCAAAACAAAACAAGAACATTCAGTGAACCAAAAAGAGCTTCTGGAAATTAAATATAGGTAACAAATGAAAAATTAAATAAAATATTTAGAAGATAAATCTAAGGACATTGAAAGAATGGAGAGTAATAAAATGAACAATAAAACCAAATAATGGAAAAAGGGAGTCAAAACAAGAGAAAATTAAAGGAGTAGTCAGGAAGAAACAATATCCATATAGTAAGAATTTAAGGAACAAGGTCTAGAAAATGGGGAAAATTATTAGCAAAAATATAAAACAAAATTAAAAATTTTTAAAACTCCAGAAATTAAAACAAATTTCTCAGACTGAAGTTGTCAAATTGAGAGGGGCCACTTATTAGAGATTAATGACTAAAAAAGTTATGCTTGCCAGAGAAATTGAGATACGAGAAGGACCAAGAGGAAGAAAAGAATGAAAATGAAGAGAAGGTAAAGTAGAAGAAAATACTCAAAACCAAGGATGGAGAATTAGAATGTTTTCAGACTTAGCAGTAATACCAGAAGCCAGAAGACAGTGGGTCAAGGCTTTCAAAATTCTGAGGGAAAGTACTTTTCCACTTGGAATTCTGTATCCTGGCAAAACTTCAGTAATGTCGTGGTCCGAGTGTGGGTTGGAAGAAGAATTTCCAGACTGGAAGTATTTTAGAAAAGAGAGTTTATTGAGAAGAAAGAGCAGAGTTAGTGAGGGGTGCTGCAAATACAGCGGGCCAACTTCCTGATAGACCAGGGAGAGCCGACCTCCTTTGTGGGCTAGGGCCAACTTTTATAGCCTCAAGATAAAGAAAATTCCTGCTGAGCTGACCCCCTTTGCAGGCTAGTAGCCAACTTTGATAGCCTCAAGACAAAGAAAATTCCTGCTGGCAGGATGGCATTAGGTGATTGGTCAGGATGCTACAAGGTTACTACATGGTGATTATTTTACCTAATATGGAGTTGGGGGGCTGTCCAGTTTAGACTAGGAGAGCGCATGGCAACAGTTGCTATGGGGGCTTGGTTAATTCCAGAATTTTTGTCCTGTGTCCTTGATGTAGGGCTCCACAAGTAAGAAGATAGAAAGATATTTACAGATATTAAAACGTTTCAAAAATGCACAGTTCTCAGGAGGCTGCTGGGAGATGTGTTTTACCAAAACTAGGGAGTGAGTGAAGACAGAATACAACTCAGGGGAGGGAATGGGAATTCCCAAGGTTATGGTCAAAGCAGATTCTGGGACAAAAGCAAGAAGGGAGTGCAAGAAGGGAGGTCTGCCTCTGGAAAAAGATGAAATCAATGTTCCCTGATGTGGTTGAATATATGGAGAGGAAGTTTCCACTTCTGGGCAGAAAACAAATGAAGAAATAATGGCTGAAATTATTGCAACTATGACAAAAATTATAAAACCACAGATTCATAAAACAAATCCAAAGTATGATTACTTAAAAGACTGCACTGGAACTTGTAATAATCAAATTTCTGAAAATCAATAAGATAAACTTAGTAGCTATAAGATGCATTACATACAGAGGAATAAAAAATTTTAATCAGAAGACAATGGGACAACTGTTTTAGAGTGCTTTGAAAAATTGTCAATATACTATTTCATTTCTTGTAAAAATATCTCACAAAAAGGAAGCCATGATAAAAACATTTTTATACAAACAAAACCTATGAGCATTTATTGCAAATGGGCTACATTTTTTAAAAAGTTAAAGTTCTTCAACGAAAAGAAATGATGTCTTCTGAGAAGTTAGATTTATACGAAGAAATAAAGAGAGCAAAAATGGTAAATAGGTAGGTAAATATAAATGACTTTAATTTTTTAAATATAATTTATTGTTTAAGGCAAAAAAAGTAATAGTCGTGGAATTTGTAAGAAATGTAGAAATGAAATTAATGGCAATAATATGACAAAGATTGGAAAGGGATGGTGGAAATAAACTGTAATAAGGTTCTTGCGCTTTACATATTATTTGAATGAAGAGTTTGATAGAGATTTATGTTATAAAACAGAATGACCATGATATCTAAGATAAAACAGAAGACAAAATGGTATACTAAAAATAT